CAATTTCATTAGGACCTTACCATTTTGTTTTCATGTATTAGCTGTCTGTTCTCTGCAATAAAAACAGAATGCTCAGTTCCAAATTGAGAAGAGGCAAAGGGCCCAACCTTGATGTGCTAAAGCAAACGAGGTTTATTTACGTCACTGCTTACGCAAACATCAGAGTATCAGGCGCCTAACAGCACAGATTCAATGAAACCAAATTAAAGCAAGTGTTTTTTTTTTATATTAATTGTATAATAAAAAATAATTATTTTTTATCTTTTATCACATTTCATTCATATATTATATGACTTAAACTCAAGATCTTTTATTTTCAATAAAAAAACATTAACACTAAATTATTTATATTTAATTAGATCATTGACAGCCCAAGTGTTCACTTAAATATTATTAAAAAAAACATTTTATCTCAGGATGTAGTATTCAATCCCCATCCATTCCCCCTTTCCCTCCCCCTCTTCTTAATTTTTTTTTTTTTTGGATAAATTCACAAGAAGTCGGATTCAAACTATTATTTAAAGGTGAAAAAATACACTTATACGTGACCTGACATCGCTGAACATGAAACCCTAAGTGCTCCCTCTCCCCCTAAGTGCTCCCTCTCCCCCTAATTGCTAATGCTAAAAACAAAATATATATACATATAGTTATCGTGGATTGCCTATTTTCAAAAAAAATAAATAAATATCTCATGTCCATGGGTCAAATTGGAATTATTTTAAAATAATTTTTTAATTTATATTTTAAAGGCAAAGTTTAAGAATTTATTAATTTAATATTTTTATAATTAATTTACATAAAAAATCAAAAATTAACTTTAGTTATAGCAATTGTCAAATTAAATTAATTTTACCCAAAAAAAATTGTCTAATTTAAAGCTCCTACATGGCATTGTTTCTCAAGAAGAAAATTGGGTTACAAATTGGCTGGCTTATTTACCTCTTTAAAGACAATATTCTTTATAATTAAACACATCAATCTCTTAATATTTTATATTTCTTACTAACTCAAAACGACCTGTATACTCAATTTAAGTTACATTTAGTTGTGTTAAAGATAAAAATAA